TAGCTATTTTTGTATATGCTTTTTGTTGCACTTATCGACTTTTTGATGTTAATATCGTTGAATAAACTCAACTTTTGTGTAAATATGTTTAGTTTGTGTTTATTTGTATTTTTGTGTATATAGTGTACCATTTGATGTTTTTCATTCATTTTATAGGTATTTGTTGCATTTTAGAGCATTGAGGAATAAAGTGTTGAAGGTACGGCTCCGGATACGCGTTTTCGGAATAAAAGATCAATTTTGTCCATGAGAGCCCGCTTAGCGCGCAGAGGTCGCTGCGAGTGCAATCGGCGCATTTTGTAGTGCACTTCTTACGTTTGACATTTTGGTAGAACCAATATTTTCAAGCCCGCTTAGCACGGATAGTGCTGTTTAGATAGGTTTGATGTGTAAAATATGGAAGTTGGCTTAGCGCGCCAGGTCTGCTTAGCGCGGTCTGCTGAGATGAATTTTATAAAAACAAATTTAGTTCATTTTTAGGTAATGGTTTTGAGGAAGTTTTTGATCCCAACTCCACCAACCTTTAATTTTGTTAGGATTAGCTTAGATAACAACTATGGATCATGCATACGGATGATTTGGGGTGGATTGCTCTTTGATCAACGCTGACAAACCGGTATATTTGCGATTCATTTATATTTTTTTTGTGTATTCTCTATTGGTTAGGTTTGTATATGTATTTACTTTGATCTTATGTATATTCGTCGCTCTTGGCGTTATATAAAACTTACTTTATGAATCTTTGTCGATTGTTATCCTAGATTTTTACTCTGCGCTAGGGATTTGAGTTGGTATAGATATATACTACTTAGATTGTTATCTAGGATGATTATCTAATAGTGTCTAAATTCTAGAGATAGATTGAGCATTATTATTCACTTAGGGTGTCTGTGATTAATTCCTATGTGTTGTTTGTGTCGCTCTGAGAGATCGTCAATGCAAGAGAGCACAGTTGACTTCTGTGTTGTTGAGGTGGTTAAGAGATTGCTACCGAGGTGATGCAGTCGGCTTCTCAATTTGGGTTAGAAATGACTTAGGTTGTGAGTGACACGTGATGACATTGATGAATATTGTAGGTTTAGTATAACAAGTCGATAGGTTTAAGTCTATGAAAAGTAGTATATATGCATTGCTTGATAAGTTATTCCTTTTTCCTTTTTATACATTTATTTTCTGCTGATACTTTTCCTTACAACTCATTCAACCCCCTAACTCATTAACGATATATTTTTCTAATGTCATTTCAATTCACTAATCTCTATGGACACGATAAATTCCTAGATAAATATTTCCAAAACTTTTGTTGCTTGCGGCTTTACCACTCCAACAACGATTGAGTTTGTTAAATCTAGTGTGGCTTTCTTATTTCACTAAACCCTAACTCAATATAAAACATCTCAAAATTGGTTACGAAAATAATTATATGAACAAATGTGTTATATTTGAAGAACAACTTACACAAATCAATGAATTTAAAGCCATTTATAACTGACACTACTACGAAAAACTCATTTAACAATGTTTAGAAAATCCACATAATCATGCGGGTCCAAGCGTTGTTGTGTAGAGTGTTGATGTAAATGCGTAACTTACAATCATGGTTCTGAGACCGTTGTAGTATATTGGAAAGTTCGCGTGATATCATAATGGTTAGTTAACTTAACCGTTGTCGTATGTATTTTAATAAAATAAAAAAATAGCAGTAGAACAACAATAGCAATAAGAACATTAAGAACAACAACAAGAACACCATGAACAACAAGAACACCATGAACAACAAGAACAACATGAAAAACAACAAGAACAACATGAAAAACAACAAGAACAACAAGAACAACAAGAAAAATAACAAGAACAATAAGAACAATAACAAGAACAACAAGAACAAGAAGAATAACAACAAGAACAACAAAAACAAGAAGAAGAAGAATAACAACAATAACAACAACAACAATAATAATGTACAATAATAACAACAACAACAACAAGAAGAAAAAACAATAATAAGAACAAGAACAACAAGAACAACAACAATAATAACTAAAAAAAGAACAATAAGAACAACAAAAACAAACATTGCTAACTTGAATCCATACTTTCGTTGTCTCATTCAAGATGGAGAATAAATGACGAAGTTCTGAAATTTAGAAATTTAAGAAATGCTTCTTTCGAGTTTTTCTTATGGAAGAAATGATATTTTCGAGCTTGATTAAGTGGAAAAATAGAGTGTCGTAAATGAAATATGATGATTTAAGGTAGAAGATGAAGTTCGTCTAAGTTGGAAGTTTGTCTAAGTTTTAGGTTTTACGCGGATCGATAATAGTGGTGTTCTGAGCGTTGATAGTAACTGTAATGGACAATTGAGATTTATTTAAGGATGATGAAGAAACTCAATAAATACAAAAACATAACAAATCAACAAAAACTCAATACATATAACCGTTGTTATATGTATTTTAATAAAATATAAAAAATACAACACTAGAAAATCAACAAAAGCAAGATTCAAACTCATGACCATGTGCGCTACATACAACAACAATTGTATTAAATAACCGTTGTTGTACGTCTTTTAATAAAATATACAAAATACAACAGTAGAATAACAACAACATCAAGATTCGAATTCATGACCATGTGCCACATTTTACCACGGTTGGAATTTCCAACCGTGGTGAAAAGTGGCTTAAGTATGAAAAAAACGCGCCTAGTTTAATAGATTCTACCACAGTGTATCCTTTTACGTGGTGACTTGGGTATTTTTGTTTGCGTGTTTTGCAGTAGTGTCATCATCCATCTCGTGTTCTTTCATGGTTAAAATTTCTTCAATGTATTAAGTTCTTTATTCAACACTTCCTTTTCTACTTTTTCATTCTTGAAAGTATAAAATTTGATGCTTTGAAAAATGAACAAATATGGAAAGAAATTGAATAAAAACTAGGAATTTAGATTCAAAATTGAATTACAATCAGTAACAATCACGTATTAAGAAAATTGTGAAACGATGCATATACGATATGATTCGAAGAGTGCGAAGATTACCTATCGGAGTACGTCCGATGCACCTTCAAAAATGAAGAAAATAAGCAAAAGAATGATCAGAGATCTTTAGTAATACATCACGATTGTTGATATGCATTCAATGGCCCCCGTGTTCCATGTCTCGCACTCCAAAGAAGATTATTAAGTGTTACAACTTGAAAATTTTCACCTCAATATCATAAGAACTTTAGCGTTAAAGAATACATTTCTTTCATTAACTTCTTTGATTACTAGAAAACAACCTCCTATGTACCAAATATTCTTTAGAATTAGGGTTAGAAATGAGTCGAGTCTAACTCTCCTCAGTTTGACTAGTTACAAGTTCACTAACAATTTAGTTTAACTCATTAAGTTCATCTCGTTTGGTTCATCTCTCTTACTTTAAGAATTTAAAATCCATTTTAAAAAAAATTCTATTTTTGTTATATTCGATATTTTAAATTAATATTTTTAAATAAAAAATATAGAAATAAAATAAAAATTATAAGTTTAAAACTTTTCTTAAAAGATGCTTTTTTAAATTAAAAGAAATTTAAAAGGTATACTTGATTTACTTAAATTTAAAGAAATTTAGAAGATATTTTTTAAATTAGAAAATATATGTTGATTTTTAAAAAAATTAATTAAAAACCATAATTTATATTATGCTGATTTTATTTATATAATTATTTTAAAAAATATTTTGCTCACATGAGCATAAAAATTATCAAGTAAAACCGTTAGATTAAAATAATATATAGGGTTATTTAAGTAAATCTTTAAACATAATCTTAAAGATAATATAATACATCTCATATATAATCGAATTGACTCATGAACCTAATGAGTCGAACTATGTATTGTTCAAGTTCAGCTCATTTAGTAAGTAAACTTAATTTTTCGCTCACATTCAGCTCATTTGATTCATGAACCTAGTTCAACGATTTAATTATCGAATCGAATTCTAAATTACTTTTTAGTGAGTTCAGTTCATTATCAACCCTAATTACGGTGGTTGTAATCAATCTAACATTAATTCTTCGTTTCAGTATGAAATAAATTAATATTTAAGATTTAATTTTTCTAATAATTTCATTTATTAAACTATTAAACACAACATAATAACTGTTTTTTTTATACTAAAAACGACATTCATTCATTCAAATTGATAGAATATATCGAATAATACAAATTCAAAATTGCTATAAACTGAAAAGGATGAATCTGCGAACAAACTCACAACACCCATGTTAATAGTATATAACGGCAAAATGCCTATAAATATGACAAAGCCTACAAATGTGACGAAATTGAAATGCTCGGAATATCCATGTCTCAGAGTCTGCAGCGTTGAGGATGTCAAACTCATTGGTTGAATAGGCACTGAATCGAAACTAATATGTCAATCTAAACCGAACAAACACCGCACTAAAGACAGAAAAACCAAATAATACTGCAATAAGACGACGATCAACACAACGTCGCACTAAGACGACGAAATCACAAAGGAAAAAACAAAAAAATATATTTGAGATCACTTATTTGAATGGAAAAAAAAGGGAAAAGAATTTAGAGAAATGATTTTAGATTAAAAATTGACCCTAAAACCACTCCTATTTAAATGACAAAGAATAAGAGAAAACTAAGATTTAGGGTTAAAGAAAGAAGCATTGAAAAAACTGTGATATAATAACACCGCTTATTAATTGTTCAATTTTTTTTCAGCTACGTTTAAAATTATTATTCTAATAATAACAAATATTAACTATTTTAAGTTATGCATATTTTAAATTTTAAATTTTAAATTTAATATAATAATTTTATATAATATGAATATAACTAATTTTTTAATAATCTTGAAGAAAAATAATTATTTTTCTTATAAATATAGGTGAAGGCAAAACATATCTTCTCACAAAGCCAGGTTCAAATATCTCATCTGATGTGTTAAATTAAAAGGTATGAGTGAAAACATAGTGATGAGCACAAATCTAGAAGAAATCAAAGAAGACACTGAACATGTTTACGATAGACACAAAGAATTGAAGGCTCTTGATGAATCAAAAGCAGGTGTAAAGGGTCTTGTAGATGCTGGTATATCCAAAGTCCCTAAAATATTCTTTAGTAATGAGATTAATGAACATGATAACAAACATACTAGTTCCACTTCCACTAATCTCAGTATTCCACTCATAGACTTTGGACCTCTATTTACGAATCCAACAAGTTCAATTTCACGTTCAGAGATTGTTCAGAAAGTAAAGTATGCAAGTGAGAAATGGGGGTTCTTTCAAGTTGTCAATCATGGGATTCCAACCACTGTTTTGGATGATATGCTTGATGGGGTGCTTAGATTTCATGAGCAAGATACTGAAATGAAGAAAGAGTTTTATTCTCGTGATATCAAAACTAAAAAGGTAAATTATAATACTAATTTTTTTGATCTGTATGTTACTCCAGCTGTTAATTGGAGGGATACACTTTCTTGTATTGTGGCTCCTCAACCTCTTGATCCTCAAGAACTGCCTACAGTTTGCAGGTATAAAATTTTCAGAATTCTATTATGCATTTGTTTTTTATTATATTTTTAATTCATAAAAAAATAAAGGTTAACCTGAAAGAAAATTGTTATGATCTTTAAAACAATTGAGTACTAAACAGTTTTCTTAAAATCATTGAAACATAGGAACGAGACATATAGTACAATAATGAAACATCATGAAGAAAAAAAAGACATTATGGAAATTGGGCGCCACAAAGGAATTGATAGAGATAAATGATAGAGGAAAATTAGGTATATATTTTGTTTAATATTAGGTATCCTATTCACTCTAAGTTCAATGTTATCTATTTTGCATATTTACATGCAGAGATATAATAATTGAGTACTCTGAGAATATTAAGAAAGTGGGAAGGATTCTATTTGAATTGGTTTCAGAAGCATTAGGCCTCAATTCAAGTTATCTGGAGAATATTGATTGTGCAAAAGGACTTTTTCTACTTTGCCATTACTCTCCACCATGTCCTGAGCCAGAATTAACTTTTAGCAGCAGTGCTCATTCTGATAGTAGCTTCCTCACAGTTCTTTTACAAGATCAAATTGGCGGCCTCCAAGTTTTCCATGAAAATCAGTGGGTTGATGTCACACCGATTCGTGGTTCTTTGGTAGTTAATCTTGGTGACATGATGCAGGCAAGTCCGTCTAATTTCATGTAGAAATTTAGGAGACACTTGTTACCTCTTTATAACTTCATTTTGTTTGTTAAATAGTATCCATTTTTTGCAGTTAATTACAAACGATAAGTTACTTAGTGTGAAACACAGAGCTCTAGCACAAAAAAATGGTCCAAGAGTTTCAGTAGCATGCTTTTTCAGGCAGCATCTCTCTCCTGAGAATTCAAGAGTATATGGACCGATAAGAGATTTATTGACGCTAGAAAATCCTCCAGTTTACAAGGAAACATCCGTGAAAGACTTAATTTCACACTACTATGGAAAAGGGCTAGATGGTACTTCTGCACTAGATCACGTGAGGCTCTAAGCCAAGAGGATTCAATGAATAAATTTACTTCAAATGTGTACGAGTGAGAGGTTTAACATGTCTTCTTTTTAAACACTCCAATATTGGTAAGTCTAAGTTAAGGGGTGAATTTGTTATGATTTGGTGTGGATCATTTGGTATCTTTGTAATGATAAGTTTTTTTTTTATAAAACATCCACAATTGTGAAAGAGGCATAGGATAAGAGTATTTTTTAGTTTGAAATTGATTTCTTAAAAAGTTATTATTGAACTTTTCATATTTCTCTGATTAGTTTTAGAATTCTATTATGTGTCTGAACCAATAGCGGATAAAGAATTCTTAACTATCACAAAATTGTTTAGTGGATTTTTTGCGTTGTTTGTGGTTTCTAGTATGATGATCATGGGTATGGAGGTACGAGCTCTAGCCAGGTTTCTGTTGGTTAGTGCTTTGCTGAGTGGGTGCTCTAAGGGTTTTTCGTTCCTTGTTTCGGTGTTTTTTGTATTTGTTGTTGGTTATGTTTTTCTTTGGTTGTCTGATTGTATTTTATTTCCTTGGCATTACTTGAGCCTTTTTTACTATGATATTTTGTTTGTTGTTGCGTTTTCCCGAATTTTTTTTGCAATAATCAGGTATTAAAAAAAATTCGCAAATAATCATGTTTCGGAGAAAATTACGCAAATAACCATGTTTCAGAAAACTCCACAAAGGAGGAGCTAAGTGAGATGGCGCATGCACTGACCCATTTTCCCTAGCCGCCATCTCACTTGGTGTATGCACTCTCTTTTAGCCAATTGAGATGGCGCATGCACTCTAAAAGTGAGAGGAGGCGCCATCTCACTTGGCTCCTAGGACAAAATGCATTTTTTTATAAATAATTCCTCCGTTTCTCCGTCATTCTTCACACTTTCTCGTATCGTCTTCTTATATTTTTCTCTGTTATTTGCGTCATGACATCTCCCATGATTTTTATCAGAGATGGTTATGTTATTTTCTCGGCCACCAAACCTCCGATGAAAATGAAATTTTAGCACATTCACTCCATGGAGCGTCTGAAGAGAGAGTTGATGTGATGGCTAGAGGGAGACATCGAGGATGAAGAACAAATTAGAAGGATCCAGTGAAGAAGAACAGTCACCTCACTTGCAACAGGAAGACCTAATTTTTTGTTGGAGGAAGTCAAAACAGACAGCGACGTAATGTTGATGATGCATGGGTCAGATGAAATTGTTTTAACAATTATAATTTCATAGACGTTTTATCGTGTTTTACTTGTTGTTTGCGCAAGGTTTATTGTAACAAATTATTTTAATGAAAAACCGTAATGTTTATAACTTAAAAAAGTAAAAATGTTTTGTAATACAATTTTTATGTGGTTGAGCTAGTAGCCCGAGTCGGACAATTTTTGCGATTGTGTCCGAACTGACGACATAAACTACACTTTCTTCCGAGCTTGTCAACGGAGTCCATTTCAGTTGTGATGCGCTTGCTTTTGGGACGACCCTTTTTATTCCTTCACATTTGATCATTGTGCCATACTATTTCGCCGTCGTATACAGGCCAATAATCAGGCTTCGCTACCAAAGGGAAGTTGTTGTTGTATACATTGAGCAAGGTTTTAGACTTGTAAATGGGAGACAGAAGTTGTAATGCGTCTTGATGAGTATAGACACACACAGCAATGGCATGAGAGCAAGGCATACGAAAGGCTTGAAACTTGCCACAATCGCACCAACGAGAAGGTAGTATAACCCTATACTCTTGTATGACTCCTCCCAGTTTCCATATGCATTTTCAATTTCCTTGGTCTTTGCTAACCACGCCTTTCGGTATGACGGAGTATAGTTAAATACCATAGTGATGTGAGAGATTATGGTTTTCACCTTCAATGATGGATCGTTGCTGACGAGGGGTAAGATTTCTTGACATATGAGATCATAATTTAGTTTCCTATGATCCTGTGATTGAGTAGAATTGACACACGTGTGGGTGGACATAAAACCTATGACCCAACAATCACCTCTTAATTTGTATGATGCAGTGAGCTTGAACATACAATCTGTGTGGATACACTTGATCTTGTACCTTTTTGGATTTACACGATCTACCTTAAAATCGACCGAGTTGAGCATGTGAAACTTTTTTATGGCTCAGATACATTATTTTCTATTATAAAATTTTTCTTTCTCTTTTAAGTTTTCATCCGACTGCATATACAGATTGAAAAATAAATCAGATGACGGTTTATCTCCACCCATGTTGAAGTTTTTCATGTGTGGAGGTGGTGTGTAGATCTCGTTCAAAGATATACCAGGTACCCCCATCGTCTTTAGAATCATCGTTGACCATGTCGTCAAACTCTAACTCGTTATCTTCTTCTTCTTCGTCAACGACATCTACTTCTGCTTGTTCGGCCTCGAGAGGATCAACCACCTGTGATAGCTGAGGCTCTCGTAGCATAATGTACAACTCAATAGAGTCGTACCCAGAATACTCATGACTGGAAAACATATTCTGAAGGTCCTCGTCATCTTGAACCTTAACCTTATAAAATATTATTTGGTTGTTACCAAAAAATCGGATTCAGATAAAATATTTGTGTCACGGGAGCTCGTCCAAGTTTGGCCTCCAATCATTTTTTGAAATATAAGAAATTGGCTTTCCTGTTTAAACAAAATCAGATGTTCTCAGTGTCTCTAAACAAAATCCTAGAGGTGGGACAAATGTATGTCTCATCGTTGAAATGTGCATTGATCACATATTATGGTGCGGAGGCCATTGTGTTTGAATGTTTGAAGGTTTGGAGGTTTGAGTGTTTGGAGGTTTAAGTGTTTGAGTCTTTGAATCTTTGAGTGTTCGAGTGTTTGAGTGATTGAGTGTATAAGTGTTTTAATAAATGTATGATTAAATAGGTTGTATTGAAATTGAATAAAACAATAGTAAGCAACCTCTAATTTGCCAACTGAGATGTCCAATCGTGTTACATGCATGCAGAGATGTCTTCCACAAGTCTGCCACCAAGCCTGCACCTAGTGTAACACCCTCTAAAACCCCGCATAAAATTTCGCAAATAATTAAAATCATATTTTCAGAGTACATGTACTAACGAGGATGCTACAATTCTCTTTTAATAAAACAAATTCCTGTCATGCATAACGTAGTAGTAACTCATACATGTTTACACAGCGGAATACTTTAATTAATAAAATCAATGTTATTAATATTTTCGAAATCATCAGGGATTAACACCTGGAAAATGTCAACATCATATTATAACAAAACATGAGGAATTAAACGAGTCTGACTAAAACAGCTCGACAAACAAGCATTCCCGGAGTTACAACTATCAGAGCATGACCCGAACAATACTAAAACGAAAATAAACTAGAACGACAAGCCTTCGCCAAGCACCTGAACGAAGCTCCTCAATCTGAAATATTCAACAGTAAGGGTGAGCATCTCAATTATACATTTGATTATACGTTCATAACAATCAATTCAGGAAATCATAAGCATCACCCAATAATTAGCATATTTCATAGTTTACAAAAACCTTTACAATTCATATACCCATGATATATTGCTTTTCATATTTGCAAATAATCATCAAACATCGTCAACCATTTAGCAATCATACGTGCATACAAACAATCAAATACAACATTGGAAAAATCATCCATTCATGTTATATTCAAGGTAATGCAACACACCCATGCATGTGGTACCACTTCACCGCCCCATTAAATCTCGGGTCACGGATAACTCACCGTTCCATTATATCGCGGACACGGCTACCACCTCAACGTTCCATTAAATCGCGGACACGTATATTGGCCACCATGTTAATTCCACACAATGGGAATTAACAAATGCAACATGATATGTAAAGTATGTAACACTCAGCATACTATGAACATCAATCAACATATCATGCAACATCAACAACATCAAATCATAACAAGATATGGATAGCATGTAATCACTCAGCATACTATTTAAACATCAATCATATCAAGTCATATCATAATTCATGCTCGATAACATTATCCAAAAGCATGGCAATAAAATCCACAATCAAGCACTGAAAACAAAGTTCAGAAAATCAACACAGTAGCATCAACACGGGTGCCCGTGTTGTGCAACACGGCCCGTGTTGTAACATATCCAGAAAAAAAAACACATTATCCTTATCAATACAGGGGGATCAACACGGGTGCCCGTGTTGTGCAACACGGCCCGTGTTGTAATGTGTCCAGAAAACACATTACTTTTACCAACACAGAAGAGCAACACGGGTGCCCGTGTTGTGCAACACGGCCCGTGTTGCTGAGCGCGTACAAAGTTTTCCTGTACCTGCAGCAGCTCAGAAACAGCAGCCAAACGCGGGAAAATGCCAGTCAAAACGCGCATTTCGGTAACTAACGACATCGAGTTTGTATAACTCAAAACAAAACATCAATTTCCTAATTACCAACAATCATCATAGTCACCTTAACCGGGATTAATCGTCCTTTTTGGGGAAATCTACTAACATTGAGGTTATCCCTATAACTTCTAAGGTAAATTCACGATCATGCAGATATACTTCCAATCCACCATTAGGAACCTAAAATCGTTAATTGATTTCATAAAATTGGGAACCTAAACCTCCTTTAACAAAGTTCAATCCTAAGGGTATCGATCCCTAATAACATCTAACAATTGGGGTTTTTCCCTACGATTACCCAAATCAACCGTACATAAACCCATAAACAAAGGTAAATCGAGTAATAGCCCCCCTTACCTTATCAATTAGCGGCTTTGAACTTTTTTGAGCGATGGTCTTCGTTCTTCGTACCTTCAGAGCTCTGCTTCCCAAAATCCCAAATTCTGTGTTATCGTGAATAATGAGAAAAATAACTTGAGTTCCAAAACATAACTTTACTTCTTTTGCACCCCCACTCTTTACTAACAACATCCAAGCCCAATAACCTAAAAACTCAGCATTTTCTTATTTCTTTTATTTTCCTCCATATTTCAA